AGGTAGGTAGATATACAGACAGATAGGATTAGATAGGTAGGTAGTTATAATAGCATGCCAAAGGAAGACTTGAACAAAGCTTAAAGATCAGGAGGGTGAAAAAAAAGACGTTAAAATGTAAAGATGAGGCCTTCAGATATAAAAATAAACATTTTATGGCTTAGAAAGGGTCTGAGGTTTGCCTAGCTCAATTGTATATAGGAAAAGACCCCCAAAGACAATGAACTCCAAAGGCATGTTTTTGACTCTCACCGATCATCTACATAAGACTCCAATAGGAGTCTGGGAAGGATAAATGACTAAAATGGGATTATTCACCGTAAGTCAAAGAGGAGTTAGGGTACTGGCTCTTTAGCAGGAAGGATGGTCAGACAGGAAAAGCTAGTACCTACTTTGGTAGATAGGTACCATCTGGATATTTCAAGGCTATATGATTCCATCAATGTAAGAAATTCTTTCCCTCCAAGGCATTTGTTACCTATCTGTGCCTTAGGCAAGTCCTGGTATGTTGCCTGGTACACAGGGAGGATAAGCCACCAGCCAATGTTCAAACAATCAGTAAGGGTCTTCTGATCTCTCCTGCTTCAAGGTTCAGTCTTGTTTCTACTACAAACAGGACATTGAGAGGTGGGGTGTACTCTGACATGTGTTTGCCATGTTTTTACCATCTTTGTGTATAGCAATCCTGCATCAGAGCTCCCTTTGTATCCAAAGGGAAGGAATTTGGCTGAAAAATAATTCAAATGTGTACGATGCTGGGCCAAATTCTATTCTGGAGAGACTAATGCATTTCCCATGGACTCACAAAATGAATAATGGATATGACACAGGGAGGCCAATTTAGATTTGGTTCCAGTTGCTTGAACAGGCATCTGGTCGTGTGGGGGTAGTGGCATGAGTGCTCCATTTGGAGTCCACAGGCCTGGCTAAGAATCTTGGCTCTTCTGTTTCCATGGGTATGTCCCTTCTTCTCTGACCCAGTTCTGTAACCTATCAAACGGGCCTTAATAGCTCCTTAGAAGAGCATAGAAGCTAAAGGGCAGGAACTAGTTTGCATTTATCTTTCTATCCCCAATACACAAATGATTGAAAGCTACTGAGAAGACAAGAATCCCACTGTGCTTTTTTAATTTGGTAGAACAAAATGCCACCTTAACTAATCACCTCCAATAAGGCATCTTCTACACAGGTGCTATAATCACACAAGATTCCTTGAAAAGATATAAAAAAGAAGTTACTTTGTTCAATGATCTTTTGATGATGTAAAGTCATAAAGCAGAGGGATGTATGCTTGCCAAAGGTCTTTGGAACTGATGTGATAAACATCTCTCAAAGAATCTAAACAGAAGAGGAATTCCCTATTGATGGTGATGTCTTCCATATATTCCTGTTTGTTGATTACAATATGATCAATCTCTGAAGCATTGCAAGGCCTCCTAAATAATATCCAAGTGCCTCAAATTTGTTTTACCTAAGTATCTATATAAGGGAAATGAAGAATTTCTATTGGATGATATCCAGTTGGATGTTCAGTCTACACAGCTGATGTATCAGTGTATTTGTCTAGGAACAACACTTCAAATGGCCAAAAATTGGTCCCAGAGTTGAATAGGTTGGGCAGCATTTGGGGAAATGCGAAGTGCTTTTTTTTAAGCAAGGGGGTTAAGTGACTTGTCCAGGGTCACACAGCTAATGTGAAGTGCTTTTAATGGTCCTAATCTTCTTCCTGACATGAAAACCCGCTTTTCTTTTAACATCAATATTCCTTCTGTGATTCTACATGGATTTAAATTACTATCTCCAAAGAAATGAATTTGTAGACCAGTTATTAAAAGTAATGGAGAAGCACATGGTGCTCCTAGGTGGATACAACATATTACCATCAAAGTACCATGAAAGAGAAGTGAAATAAAAGATAGTGTTAGAAATAAGTATTACTAAAAAAGAAGGTGAGGTGGTTATGCAGTGAAAATGAGAGGTAACCAATGGAAATTCTGCCTCTTTCACTTATAGTCATATAATGATAAGAGAACAAGGCCCTCAGCAAGTCGGATGGAACCCTACAGAGCTGTGAAAGAGTGGAATATAAAAGAAAGCGGATCTTTTTTTTTTTTAGCAAAGTATTTGAAAAAGTCTTTCATGTTATACTTGTAGATGAGGTAGAAAGATATGGATAGATTCCAGTATGGTTAGATGGTTGCGGAGCTGGGTTGCATGACTAGACCCAAAAAAAGATTCACTGAGTAACAAACAATAGTTATTGATATTGAGTAGATGTCAACTTCCAGGGAGATACCTAATGGAGTGACCAAAAGAATTTGGTTTTTTGTTTCTGTGTTTTCCAAAACTTTAATCAGTAATATAGATGTCACCATAGGTGGGAGGGAGGAATGTACTGACAGTTTAGAACTATGAGCCAAATCAAAGAAGATGGAATTTAATAGGGATAAAAATAATATTCTACACTTGGATGAAAAAAATCAACTTTACAAATATAGAATGTATATAGGTTAGACTACACTTATAATAAAGAAAACCTTGGACTTCAATCCATGAGAAGTTCAAAAATCACTCAATGACAGCAACCAGATATGTTGATGTTGATATTGATGATAATGATGATAATAATAATAATAATAATAATGATAGTCAACATTTATATGGCACTTACTATGTGTCAGGCACTGTGAAGTTTTATAAATATTTTCTCATTCTATCTTCATAACAACTCTAGGAGGTTGTTACCTCCTATTATTATTATTACCCTCATTATTACTATGCTAGGCTGCATTAGAAGATGCATTATTTCCAGAATAAGAGAATTACTAGCTGAGTTGGACTCTGCCCTGATCTGGCCAAATCTGGAATACTATGTTCAGTTCTGGGCATCCCATTTTAGCAATGACATAGACAAGAAAGAGCTGGTCCAGAAAAAAATAATCAAGATGACGAGAAGACTAAATTGGTTAAACAAATTGCAGAGGTTTTAGCCTGGAAAAGAGAAGATTTAGGGATTATGTAAGAGTCTTCAACGGATGAATTAGGAAGCACTGTGGTAAGCACTGTGGATACAATACAAAAGTGAGACAATCTCTGCTCTCAACAAATTTAGATTCTAAGGTGGGAAAACATATACACAGGAATTAAGATTGGGAAGTCAAAAAGAAGGTGCCAAGGGATGATCAATTGCCTTATACAGAGACAACAGTATCATTGATTCGATTAGAATTTTTATGTTTCATGGTCACATCCAAAGGCTTAGCTCCTCCCAGGCAAGGTCTTAGGTTGTCTAGGTTGGACGATGAAGCAGCAGAAAATGACTGGTGTGAAGACGAAGCAGGAAGTATTTTTCAGATATGACTTGGATTAGATGGACCCTAAGATCTCTTCTTGTCATTCAATGAAGCTGTGATTTTAATTAATGATTGTCCTCACAGTGTTTTATAGAGGGGTGTCATGAAGGGAGAATGTTACCAACTTTCAGAGTATTATAGGAATGGGACAATGAAGGACATATCACATCATCTACCGAGCAGATGTACATGTACCACCAGCATTAGACATAAGTGACTTTAAATAATGAGTTTATTTTGTCATAAAAACTATGACTTTAGAATGTGGTACAAAACTCTAGGTCAAAACATGATGAATGATTTTCATAGATTCTAGAGCTAAAAGGACCCTTTGGGAGGAACGCCCTTTGATGAAATCTACATTTCTTTCAAGTGGGCTATTGGCTATTCCCTCACTTGTCATTCCACCTTCCCCTCTATGACTTTGCACTTCCTTTTCACCTCTTTGAATCTTTGGCTTCCTTCAAGACTCTCTGAAGACCGTGGCCTTTTCTGATCTCCTCAGCTATCAGAGCCTCTTCCCTCCTCAAATTGCTCTGTACTTACTTCTATCTTTGAACATATCGCATCCCTCCAGTAGAGTGTAACCTCCTTCAGGGAAGCATCTGTTCTGTTTTCTCCAAGAAAACATGGTTTCTCCATGGTTTCATGTGTATGGTTGGTACTTAATATAGGTTGAATTGAATCTCATGTCCTCGCTTACAGATGAAGCAACTGAGATCCAAAAGGGGGAAAAGTTGCTTATCCAAGTGTCAGGGCAGGCACTGAACCTCAGGTCTTCTGACTCCCTCCCACCCAAATCCAGGACTTTCCATTCTACTAAGCTGCCAGATACATGTTCAAATGAGAAGCATAATTTAAATCTGTTCTCATTATATCATTTCCAGGCCTTCTACATGAAATCTGTAGAAAACATATTTGTCATCTAAGAGAGAATTTTGCTTTGCAAAGAGCACATTTTTGTTTTTCTTCAAACTCCTTCCCTTTGAAGACAAAAGGGACTTTTAGGACAGACTAGTCATAAAGAAAGAAGGTGACAACGTGGCCACAATTACTGGCACGGAGCAGAGCACATTCTGCTAAGCTTCAAGGAAGGAACACAGACTTGGCTACATCTTGGATGTAGCCCTCCTTCATAGCTCACCCTTCCTGTAATTTCATCAGTGCCACATTCTTATTCCAAAAGCCTGACCCCCCCCCTTTTGTCTAAAGCCTGATCCCCGCCTTTTGTCTAAAAATTACAGTCTAATCAAAATTAATCTCTTTCCAAAGAGGCTATTGGGAATGAAGAGCAGCTCGCCTTTTACAATGGCCTCACAGTTGTGTTTTTTTAACTCTCTTAGGCAGTGGTTAATTACTGCAAAAATGGAGCTGAAATGACTATCTTTGTTCTATTGGGAAGGGGAGGAGCATACCAAGGAGAACTACACCAGTAAGCGAGTGTTTCTGGAGTATACTCTTGTACAAGTGGGACTTTTAGTTCAGAGGATTGAACCCAAATCTTGTATTCCAGTTCTGGGGCTGCTTTCTCATTTTACTTTTTCAATAATGAGAGTTCAAACCCCACTGTGGTGTTAGCAACAGAGGCATCTGGTGCAGCTGATCATTTCTAATTTAATTTGTGCAATGAGCTGCCCAAGATCCTACCTTTTGTCCCTGCACATCTGTTGTGATGTGGTCGGCTTCCCCATCCTCTATCTCCCCCATCTTCAAAAGATTGACTTCTATGGCACCAACAATTTTTCCACCATCGGAAGTTCTGAAACCAAAAACAAAAGGTGAGATCTTCCTTCAGCCCATAAAGTTCCCAGGAAAAGGTGATTTCCTTGAGGTAACATTTTCAAAGCAGTCCATTTTGGAGCTTCTTTGGTTGTAATAAAGTAATTTCTTATAAACATAAAACGAATGCTAACAATGGGATATTTTTCCCATAAAACTCCATTTAATGAAATGAACCGTAGATGTATAAGGAGAAGTCATGGGTGAATAAGCACACCTCATGAAGGTAAAATCATTTCATAAGTACCTATAATGTTAGGACCAAATGTTCTTAAATGGGTACACATTAACAGAGTGCCAATTTTAGAATTTTTATTTTTTATCCTGCAAATCTAACCCTTAAGGAATGTCTCCCAATTAACAGCTACATGTAGAAAATATAAATAGCAAAACATAGAAGCTACAGAAAAGGCAAATCAGTAAAAGATATTGTGTGGTGGAAAAGACTGCTGAATTAGGCACCACCTTTGTCACTACAGGCAAGTCACTTTCCCCTTCTCAGTTTTTTCATGTGTAAAATGTGGGCATTAGTATTACTGGGCATTTCATCCTCCCAAAACTCCCCTCCATACCCTCCCAGTAAGTGTATATTTCACTGAATTGAGGTCATTTGCTGAGAATTCCCTCTTATCCTTTACTCTTCATCGCACACTCAGACCCTTTCCACCTCTTGTCTCACAAGAAAAAGTAGCTCCTCTCATTCCCAAAGCTGATCCCAAGCCATCCTGTCTTTTCAAGCAGACTTGTCTCCTCTCCTCACCTCCCCTCTTATCCCTATCGCCTCACTAGTCTTCACTTTCTCTCTATCTACCTGTTACTTCCCTATTGCCTATAAATAACCCTGACTTCTTATCTCTCCTCCATTTTTGTGGCTTGACTGCTTGAGAAAGTCATCTATAATTAGTGCCACTATTTCATGTCCTTTCACTTTCCTATTAACTTTCTTCAGTTGGGTTTATGACTTAACCATTCAACTAAAACTGCTCTCTCCAAATTTACAAATGACTTCATAATGGCCAAATCTAATGACCTTTTCTGAATCCTAACTCTTCTTATCGTCTCTGCAGCCTTTGACACAACTGATCACCCTCTTCTCCTCAATACTCTTCTCTCCAGATTTTCCTTGCTATTCCTCGTACACACAGGACACTTCATCTCCTGACTTCTAGAGTGTTGCCTGGCTGTTCCCCATGCCTGGAATTCTCTCCCTCCTCATCTCTGAATTCTGACTTCTCTGGCTTCCTTCAAGTCCCAGCTAAAATTCCACTTTTTATAAGAATCCTTTTCTAATAGTTCCTATGTTGAATATCTTGAATTTTATATATATATATATATATATGCATATATACATATACATACACACATATTATATACATATATACACAATTATATAAACATGAAAATAACTATAATCAAGAGAAAGAAAGAAAGGAAAGAAGGTAGGAAGAAAGGATCGAAGAAAGATAGATAAGATAGATATAGATATGCTTATTGACTAATTCACAGAAAGGGTCATTAAATAAGTTTAAAGTTTTTTATATAATGTTCTTTTTTATTTTTTTGTTATCCATTTTTATTATTTTTTGTTGTTTATGTAATAGCTTGATCACAAATTGTTATTTTATAACTAATATTTAAGTACTATAATCAGACACATATGTATACATACATCTTGATTACTGAGTTATTTTCACGTTATCGCTTTCATTAGATTGTGAGTTCCTTGAGAGTAAGGACTAATTTTTTTTAAACTTTCTTTGTATCCCCAGACTTTACCACGGTGCCTCACACACAGTCGGTGCTTATTAAATGCTTGTTGACTAAGTCACAGAAAGGGCCATTACAGAAGTTTAGAGTTTCTTATGTAATGATTTTTCTTAGCCTTCTTTATGTATTTAAGTTGTCTTATGATTGTTAATTCCATAATATAAAAAAAAAATAAAGAAAAGAAACTCATACACCAAAATGTTCATAGCAACACTTTCTATGGTAGCAAAAAAGTAGAAAACAGAACGCATGTGCAATGAGGATGGAACAGCTGAACAAATTGTAGTACATGAATATAATGCATAATTATATAATGCACATATAAATGCAAATATATACAGTGAACATAAGGAATCCAGAGAAGCCTGAGAATACCTGTATGAATTGATGCACAGTGAGGAAAGCAAGATCAGAAAACAATATATACAATGGCTACATTAATGCTAATGGAAATAACAATGAAAGCAGAAGGAAATATGTATTTATATATTACCTACTATGTGCCAGGTACTGTGCTAAGTGGTTTTTACAAATATCTCATTTGATAGGCAAAGAGGCAATGTAAATGCTCTAATATGGAAACTATAAGCAAGGAAAACTAACTCTCTATATATGTACATACATACATATATATATATATACAAATATTTATACATATATTAAGATAGTCATATAATACATACTATACACACATTATGTACACACATATACATTCACATACACAAGTATATATACAATACATATATAACATATACACATGCTTACACAGAGATATACATGCATGTGTATATAATACAAACATACATATTTATGTGTGTATATATACATACACACATACATGAAATTTAGAATAAAGTAAAATAAAGTGAGGAATTTGAAAATTTAAAATCCCCTCCATCTTGTCATTTATAAATAGAAATATTGCTTTTCTTCTTCATAAACCTCTTTTCAGCATGTCTTCCTTTTGACTCAGATTCTGACTTGGGTATTTTGCCCTATTACAAGCAAAATGAAGGAGTTAGACCAGATAATTTCCAAGTTCTCAAACACTGGAAAGGTTATTTTTAATGCATTCTAGCTTCCCCTTTCCAGAAAACAAAGCCCATTTGATAATACTGCTGGCAATACTCCAGAATTAAAAAAAAAAAGCACACTTGACTCTAATCATCTGAAATCTCACACCTTTTTTCTCCTTTCCAAATGTAACTTTAAAAAAATATTCTTAAAGAGGAGTTATTGATTTAGACTGAAAAATAGTTTATATTTGTGTAATGCTTCAAAGTTTGCAAAGAACGTGATGTAGTAGATAGCTCTGGACTCTGAATTAGGAAGACCTGGGTTCAAAGCCTGCCTCAGACACTTAAGAGCTATGTGATCCTGGGCAAGCCATGTAACCTTTGTTGCCCTCCATTCTTGATCTCTAAAATGAGGGGCTTGGACTCTAAGGTCACCTCCCACTCAAATCTATGATCCAGTGAACTTTAGATATATTACTGCATTTGATTCTCATGATCACTCTTGAAAGTAGTTAACATTCCCATTTAATGATGAGCAAACTGAGGCTAAGAGAGGTTAGGTGTGACTTGCTCATAGTCTCATAGCTAATGTCAGAGATGGGATTTAAACACTGGTCTTCCTAATTTCCAGTCCAACACTCTACCTACCATAGAAAGTTACCTTTCAAAAGTATATTAATTAAACAAAAAGCCAACCTAATAAGAAGCTACTAGATGATTGGAAGCTTTTTGCCAAAAGCCTTCAAATTACAAATTGAAAAGAAGCTTTAGAGTTGTTTCTTTAATGAAATTAAACACAGAGAATGAATTTCTGGGGCATTGCTAATATCACTATAATAAAATGACTCTGCACACAATGAAGGGGGAAAGGATTTGCTCATTAAGCAATGTATTAAAATTCTTTTTTGATAAGAAATGGAATACAATGCTATTTGTTCATTTTAAATAATAATGCTGGATGTCAGTTGAGGAAAACTAATGAATAAAATGCAAACATTTATCACACCTGAACTATGTACACTGGTGATGACGGCATGCTCAGTACCCAAGCAGGTAAGGTCCTTGAAGGCAGTATTTGTTTTTTGCACTCCCAGAAACTGAAATAGCACTTTTCCCATAGTGGGAACTTAATATATATGCTTGGTGACTTATATCAGAGGGAAAGAGTAGCACTAGAAAAAGTCCCATCCAGCAAAAATCTGAGGTGACCCTCAGCTTCCTGTGCAAATTCAGGACTAGCTGGGACAAATTGGGGTGTGGCATATCTGTGATGAATTACTCAGTAGCAGGAGGTTTCAGCCATTAGCCCGGCTTTGCATTCCAAGTCCATTCTTTTTGTGATTTTTACAGAGTGTATTGTAGCTAAAGAGCTGACCTTGAAATCAGGAAAAGATAAATCCTGCCTTTCCCATATTCTTGTTGAGTCATGTAAACTCCCAGTGAGAGCCCTAGACAGCCCTCTAAGGTTATGAGTTGAGGAGGAAGCCACCACCTGCATTAACAGAAGACTATTCTCACACGGATCTATTCACACTAATGAATTATGGGTGTGATAAGAAGAAAAAAAAATTAAACATTAAATTATCTTTCTTTTTCTTCTATTGAAACCAGTAGGCAGCTCGGAGATGAAGTGCAATCTATGGAGCTAATCCTACTTTTTCAGTTCCAGCCCCCTTTTAGAGCAATCTTGCAAGGTCTATGCCCACATAAAGAAGCCGAGACAGGGTTTTACCTTAGAAAGCCAAAATAGGGAGGCGGGCAGAGACTGGGAGATGGGGAAGGGAACACTTTCTGAGAAGAGTCGCTGTGATCTGGGCACTGGCACTGTCCTCCCTATGCCCCATCCTCCAGTGGTCTTCTCTTCCAATTATTCACTCTCACCCCTGGGGATCCGTATCAAGGCACATCCCTCTCCTGGGCTTTTCCCTCCCCCAGTCCCTACTAGAAGATTGGCCAAACTTTCTAAGGGAGAGGCAGCCCCTCTATCCTGGTACAACCACACCTGTAATCCAACCATCTTTGCCTTCCCAATCAAGAGGCCTTCTGATTCCCTTAAAAGCAAGTATTCAAATGACTTAAGTTAAAAGGAATTGACTTACAAGTCCCGTTTGGGGTGTATGAGATATCTCTGTTTTCCAGCAGTTTTATATGGGAAAAAGGGGAGTTTTAAGACTGGAGGCAAAGATGATCCCAGCAG